CTTATCATCAAGAACAAATTTGCTATCTGAAAGCTCAAGGAAAAACATTTTGCTACTGATTTTATGATGATACAATTTGTATGATTTTTTCCTCAAACTATTATCATCCGCATATAAATCAATTTGTCCCCTGAAAATTTTGAAAATGTCAAGTTAGAATTTTGAAAACTTTAATCTATAACTTAAGGACCAAGTGTCCTTAGCTTTTGAATTTGATACTCAAACTTAAGGACTGCATGTCCTTAGCTTATGAATTTTGAATTCAAACTTAAGGACAAGAAGTCCTTAAGTTTTAAACTTGAATCTATAAGTTAAGGACAGTTAGTCCTAAAATTAGTCTTACAATCACAGAAGTTAAGGATGTAGTGAAACACATTAAGAGACTTACTCTTTTTTGCGACCTCTCCTTTTCTCCTTGCCCAACCACACAATGAATTTCTTCACTAATTTTTCATCTTCTTTGGCATAATGAAAAATACACCTACGAGTATAGGTTGATTTTATCCAACCTGAACTCTTCAGAGTATTTTGATTGTCTGCCTTAGAACTTACTGTTTTTCCTTCCTTATCAAAAGGAGATTTCAACTGCCAGCTTAACTTCTTATTCCTTTTACCTCGACCAAGTTCTTCTTCAACATTTCCTTCACCCTCCATAGTCAANAAATTACGCACTAATCAATTTATACAAAAGAAATCAATATACCATGAGCATTACAAACAGACATTTAAACTTCTTCAAACTCCTTTCATTTCATGCTTTCGAACTGTTACAGTTAACACCAACATGNCCTCTGCTGGCGACACTATATATATATATACACATATATACATATTCATATTAGTTTTCAGCAACAGGTCAAATGAAGAGACAAAATTTCAATTGTACATATAATAATTAGGGCACAATCAGTANACAACAACAAGCGAAGCAAGTAGAATCAAGAACCCAACTAGACCAAGTTCCAAAGTAAACCAACAGACAACCAGCAGACTCAATTGGATTTAGAAGAAATCAGTATTGAACAAACAGGTCAAGACCAGTGAAATCAAGACAAACAGAGAAGAATGCAATTTCTAGTTTTGTCTGNATAGATTCTTGTTGATAAGATTCTGCAAAAATATTTACAACAACTAACATGTTAATAATCTTTAATTAAAACAAACATATATAAAATTAAAAAAGCACTGCCTAACCATTTGCAATATCCAAGATCANGTTTTTTTTTAAACTGATGGCAGTTCCCTTTTATTAACCTAAAATCAGCCCTTTAACAGCCTGTTAGACAATCAGAANTATGTCTTGAGATTGTAGTCCAGTTTTCTCTTGATACTACACTCCAGCTTCTTTGCTTGCTGCTTCAAAAGATACAATACATAATGAAATAAAGATACAATATATAATGAAAATATTATCTAACCTTGACTGGCACAAGTTTGAACTCCAAATTTTTCTTTGTATGACAGCGGTGTAGAGAGATCATACGTTCCTTCTAAGCATTTGCATACAATCTCGCTGACACTTGTCCCCAATGGACTTGTTAAATCCTCCTGTGATTGCAATCCACAAACTCTACAAATTTTCTCCGGCACTCCACAAACTTCTGCATGCACATGCATAGTTTATATGTATTAATCTATTGAATATACATTTCAACGAAAATAAAAATCAAAATCTATAACTAACCTTTCCCAATATCAGTAACATTTTCAGTTTCATCATCTAGATGTGCATCTCTAAATTCTCTTTCATATTGACCCTCTGCATGCACATCCATATAATCACGTTCAACACCACCTGCATCTTGGTTGAATATACCAGTACGCTCAGTAGCACGACAATGATCATCAACTCCATATTTTCTAATTGGAACACTAAATTCTCTATCTGTGTTCATCTGATCAGCTTTCCCAAACATGTTCATCAAAGTATCAAGCTTTGATCCTAGAGTTTTCTTTAAATCCTGAGAAAGCAACTAAGTTACAAAGAGAAGGACAGGTTTAAAACTTAAGGACAAACAGTCCTTAAGTTTGAACTCAAAGTTCAAAACTTAAGGAAATGCAATCCTTAAGTTTGAACTCCAAGTTCAAAAGTTAAGGACAAGAAGTCCTTAACTTTGAATTCCAAGTTCAAAACTTAAGGACATGATATCCTTAAGTTTCATTTCAAAGTTCAAAAGTTAAGGACAAGAAGTCCTTATCTTTCAATTCCAAGTTCAAAATTTAAGGACACAAAATCCTAAAGTTGGACTAACTGAAATTACCTTGATTTCGTTCTCAATCTTTTTTTCTGATACAACAATTTTCTGATTAACTCTGGTAACTTCTGCTTGCAAATCCTTCTTAAAATTCTCTGATAATCTCTGAATCAAAAAACATAATATAAAAAAAAAGGTGTTCGTAAGCAAGAAATAATCAAATAAAAAACTAATAATATTCAAGGGCAAAAACACATACTCTAACAATTTCCTTAAGTACGCCTTCGTCAAATTGTGTGGAAGAAGACCTTGAGCCTTGATCTTGTGAAAGTGGCTCCTCCACACAAAGAGGTTGTGTATCTTCTTCTTCCACGGGAATAAAGGGTGACACCTCAATCAACTTAAACACCTATTATATAAGAAAAACTAAACATAAGTATACATAACTAAAACAAATAAACAAAAAAAGAGATAGTAATTACATTAACTTACTTTTTTATTATGGAAATATTTTCTACAAAGAGCATCAAATTGTGGAGACTTCATTTCAGAATAACATAACATTCGAGGATAACCAACTTCTTTGAAGTTCACAAATTGTTTCTCTTGGAAAATAGGAAGTACTTCCATAATCCAGACACAAAACGCAAAAGGAAAGCCAACTAAAGTGTAGCTATCAATATCTTTTTCTTTCTCTTTCTCCTTCTGAACATCATTCTCATTTGATTTCAAGCAACTCTTCAATGATTTTAATAGCGTCTCATAAGCAAGAGAGCCCCAGTTGAAGGAAGCGCAAAGTGCATCATCGTCAATAATTTTCATTATTTGCTCCGACACATTCCTATTTTTCCTCTTGCCCATCAAAACCGACTCAACAAAATAGAGTGTTGCCAACATCAAAGCATCATCATCACTGCCAGCAAATGATAAAGTTGTACCATGTGAGGACTAGAAATAAAACTATACAAATCAGCTAACTCAATTTTGTCCTTTCCAGGTAAATAAACTCTTAAAAGCCTATTCTCTTTCTCATTTAAACCTTTCATGTCAAGCGACGAATAAGACTTCAAACCAATAATAATATGGAATGCATCACGAGTAAACTTAATATCGCGGTCAAATACCTTGAAGGTCATCGAATCAGGTTCATTACTAACAATTTCAGAAAGCAATACATAGTGCATAAGTTTACCCGAGAACTTCACACTTTGTAATCTAAAGAAGTTGCCAAAAATGCTTTCCCTCAATTTCTTCCATTGGCTATTCGACAGAAAACTTTTAATTGTTTCCTTATATTGAAAATCTCCTTTCCAATATACCAGAAAATTACGCCAATCGTCAAAATCAAAAAAATGATCGCCTTCCATTATAACACTAGAAAAGAAGGAAAAACAAACAAAGATTAGGACTTAACTTAAAATTTCAAGTTTAAAAGTTAAGCAAATACAATCCTTAACTTTAAATTTTAAGTGCAAACGTTAAAGAAATACAGTCCTTAACTTATACTTTCAACTTCCAAAGTTAAGGACACTTAGTCCTTAACTTCAAGTTTCATGTGCAAAAGTTAAGGACAATAAGTCCTTAACTTTAAATTGTAAATGCAAAGGTTAAGGAAATACAGTCCTTAACTTATACTTTCAACATCCAAAGTTAAGGACACTTAGTCCTTAACTTCAAGTTTCATGTGCAAAAGTTAAGGACAATCAGTCCTTAACTTTAAATTGTAAGTGCATAGGTTAAGGAAATACAGTCCTTAACATATACTTTCAACATCCAAAGTTAAGGACATTTTGTCCTTAACTTCAAGTTTCATGTGTAAATATACCTACACATTTCCTACATGAATCAACCACAAACACATTTCAAATTTCACACACTAAAAATTTATCAAAAATAGAATCACACAAAATATACTACACTGAATCAACATATAATGCTAATTTTTGAAATTTCACACATACTTCACACGAGATTGAACCAACTTACAAATAAAGAAAAATGAAGATGACAGAGAAGATGACGGAGAAGATGAAGGACAGAAGATGACGGAGAAGATGAAGATGAAGATGACGGAAGATGATGGAGAAGATGAAGGAGCAGAAGTTAATTGCATACGAGGAAGATGAAGAAACGCAGAACTCTGAACGAATGAAATAAGGGTTTTCGTCGATTTTAGGATTATACAAGAAATAGAGAAAGGGTAATTGTGTCTTTTCCCCCTTAGTAGTGGCTATTTTTGATAATCATTTTAAATAGTGGATAAAAATTAAATACACCCTTATTTAGTGGCTACTACACGCCATTTTCACCAAAAGTTAGCTCCCAGAGTGAGAATTGCCCAAGACCGTATTAAAGGAGACCAAAGACTCATACCACCTTATATGAGATTTCTGGCACCTCCTCTCCTCGAAGTCCAAGACCAGACATTTGGAGCATGAACAATACAAGATCGATGCCCAATATTGAATACATAATGAATTGGGTTGGACATGGCTATAATACTATGATAAGAAAATGGGACTTTTTTCGTATATATACGAAATTTTAAACTTATTTACCCAATTTATTTATATTTTCCTATTTGTAAAAAGTAACTAAAGTTTTATTTTACAAAATATATACAAAATCGGTCAAAATTCCAACTTATCTACAACTTAAATATAAATTTGTTGTACATAATCTGGTCAAAAGCTATAATTTACATACAATCTATATACAACTTGTATACAATTATGTAAGTTATGTACTATATTTTATATATCATGTTTACACTCGACATACAAAATATATATAATTTTGTTTATGTCATCTTCTTCAAATTTTAATATGAAATTCCAATCAAAATCACCTCGAATCTTCATCAAATTCTCTCAAAATTGAGATATAAACTCCAAAGAATATTCTCAATCATTTGCAATAGCACCCAATCCAAACAAATAATAATTTTACAAATTTTGATTTTCGAATTCAAAGTAATTAAGCTTTCTAATGGCTATCAATATAGTTTAAGCTCATGTATACACGATTAACTTCGGTTTGGTTTTAGTTACACCATCAATTAGTTTTATTTTAGTTCCAACGCCTCTTCTGTAGACAATGTCTTGTTTGTTCATCTAAAAAAAAGTTATGGTAGCCCATTTGTATTGGTGCTTCATGTTGTGTATTTTATGCTTTTAACCAGTTGAATTATTTTTCTTCATCGTTCTTCAAAGCTCTAAACATGTTCATCTCCAAAAGCTGAATTGAAGAGGAACTGAGAAAGAATCATCTATATAGAGAAGAAAAATAAAGAAGAATGAAGCCTAAAATAGGTAAAATTGGAGTCTAATATATTATTTGTATATAAGTGGTAAATTGTATATGCTAATGTAATTAAGTAATAACCTCTCTATGAGGGTAAATAAGTTTATAATGTAGTAAAGATAGATAAAATTCCTAAGAAAATAGATATTTGGACCTAACTCAACCTCAAAATTTAGCTCAAGAGCGTGAATTGTCCAAAATTAATCAATCAACATTACTTTAGTTCCAAATTAGTTCGACGCAATTCTTTGTATGCATCTTTTTCTACAGTCAGACCTCTCTACAACAACATCTTCATATAACAACCATTCACTATAAAACCCAAGTTTCTCTCATAAATAATTTTTAATATTACATTGTACCTCTCTATAATAACTTTTTACCTATAAAAGTTGTTGGGATATACTATTAACCATGCGGTTTAGACATAGTATTATATTTTATTCTTTATGGAACAATTGTTTATTTCATTTATTCAATTCAATAAAGTACTATTTTAAATAGATCATTTGTTACATGTGTGTCCTTTTAATTATGTAGTAGACAATTTAGTGTATGAAGTCTTAGCTCATGCACAGAAGATTAAATTGTTGGTTCTCATAATTAATAAACTACGTTCACAATTAAAGATATTGTTGGACAAAATATCTTGATGATTGTAGCACAAAATTCTAGTATAATTTGCCGATTATGGGAGTAGTTTTACTCTAACTTCTTGTGCTAGTATACTCAGTGTATATTGAACAGACCAAGTAGAGAAAAGATATTTTTTTGTACTGAATATATAAAACATTTTTCTCTAATTCATTAAATGAGCTTATACTCCTAATCTTGATATGATTATTATGATCAATGTAATTTGTTTATTGTTTTGATTTATCAAAAGGTACAACTCTATTTAGAGTTAGTGTATGCCTAATAGATTGAACAATAACAAATAACATTTGTGAATAATAATTAGTTGATAGAATCCATGACTCGATTTTTGAGTTTGATGATACTCCTTTATGTAAGCTTATAAGTTTTCATGTGAAAACCCAGCCGGTGGATTTTGTATCCATCACATGAAATGTTTTAAGCGGAATTGTAAAGGATTTAATTAGTTAATTAAATTAAATTTTTAGTGATTTAATTTAATTAATTGGTATTTGAGATCTTAACATGGGGAGTTAAAATAAGTGTTTTGGAATTTTTGAAATTCATATTGAGGAGTTCAATTGCATTTTTTAGTGGAATAAATTGCAATTAATTATAGTAAGAATTAATTCATGTTAATTTCGAATTAATACTATAATTGGTAGCCTCTTATTATTTCTGTGGTCCCTGCTATACCTAGTAAAAACCTGGACAAGACTTGGGTAAAAGTGACTTGGGAGAAAAGTCATCTAATAGAGTTGGAGTAGGATTCTACTTGTAGAAGGAGAATGCTGCACGTTTTTGGAGGAGGATTTTCTGCCAAAAATAACTCTATTAAAGGAAGACTAATTTCACTCAATAACTCACCTTTTAGAGTTGTATTGTTCTTGCTCACCCAAAAGCAAAAATCGTCTAAGGTTTTACTAGGCAAATATTAGAAGACTGCAACCATGGATTCTTGCTGTTTGAAAGGTTTGTGCAACTACTTCAAGAGGTTAGTGCTTCTAATCTCATCATTATTGCGTTGTCTAGTTTACATGTATTTGTGTGACGACCCAAAGGGGTCATTACCGGTTTTCTTATCCATTCCGAGCTTCCGAGGCCTTGAAAACCTCATTTATAGTTGCCTCTATTTGCGTGCACAGTCCGGGCGCATAGCCGGAAGCTCAAATATAAAATTCTGTGAAAATTTGCTAAGTTTTGATATTAAAATGAATAACTTTGACTTCGGTCAATATTTTGAATAAACGAACTCGGACCCATGATTTGACGGTCCCAGGGGGTCCGTAGGAAAATATGGGACTTGGGCGTATGCCCAGAATCGAATTCTGAGGTCCTAGGCCTGAGAAATGAATTTTTGAGTAAAATTGTTTTCTGGAAATATTTAAGGAAAATGGAAATGAAATTTGATTAGAAAGTGATGGTATCGGGCCCGTATTTTGGTTCGACGCCTGGTACAGGTCTTATATATGGTTTAAGCACTTTCTGTAAAGTTTGGTTGAAAACGGACGTCGTTTGACGTGTTTCGGACTCAAAATGGAAAATTTGATGTTTTAAGAAAATTTGAAAGAATTCTTGGATTTTAAAGCTTAATTCGTGGTATATGATGTTAGTTTGGCGATTTGATCGCACGGTTAAGTTTGTAGGATGTTGTTGAGTTAGTGCATGTGTTTGGTTAGGAGCCCCGAGGGCTCGGGAGTGTTTCGGAGGTGTCTCGGAGTGATTTCGGACTTAGGAAACAGAAAGATTGCAGAAATAGTACCCCGTGTACAGTACCCCGTGAACAGTACCGTGTACAGTACCCCGTGAACAATGCCATACAATACCCCGTGAACAGTATTGTGTACAGTTCCCCGTGAACAGTGCCGTACAGTACCGTGAACAGTATCGTGTACAATGACGCGTGAACAGTACCCGGAATTTTTCTGGACAGAACATTAAGTTCTGATTTTCCATTTTTAGCGAATTGGAGCTGGGGAAGAGGCGATTTTTGGGAGATTTTCAGAGAAAACAACGGGGTAAGTGTTATTAACTTAATTTTGGTTAGATTACCCGAATCTATTTCTAGTTTTGGCATTTAATTGGTGATTTTAGTTGGGAAAATTTTGAAAACCCTCTTAGTTTAATTTGAAGATTTGAGGGTCGAGTTGATGTCGAATTTTAGTAAAATTGGTATGACTGGACTCGTGGTTGGATGAAGTTTCATATTTCGTAATTTTTGTCGGGTTCTGAGACGTGGGCCCCACTGGTGAATTTTTAGTGCAATTTCGGATTTTTAATGAAAAATGTAGAATTTCATATGGAATTAATTCCTATAATTTTTATTGACTGAATCGAATTGCTTATGACTAGATTTGAGAATTTCGGGCACGAATTCGCGAGGCAAAAGCTTGTTGGAATTTTGAATTGGTTGCAAAGCGAGGTAAGT